CTCCTGAATAAAATCGCAGTAAAGCAAAAACAAAGAAAATCTTTTTTGAATGTCCCTCGCAAAGCCACTGTCTGCAGAGGGCAATACAAATATGAAAAACGCAAATATACATCCAAGCCTCAAGTGAGATTCGAAACAACGGTTCATGTCTTCAAGAAAACCTTGATTTCCAAAGAGTAATAAGTATTTTTTAAAAGACGCATTTTTTTATTGCTGGTGGAAGGGGAGTAAGTCGCTTGTACTGCGGCCCCAGATGATAGGTGAGGGTGATTGTGGAGTAATTGGTGGAATGAAGATTGGCAGGGAAAACCGAAGTACTCGGAGAAAACCTGCCCCAACACCACTTTGTCCACCACAAATCCCACTTGACCAGACCCGGGATCGAACCAGGGCCGCCGCGGTTGGAAGCCAGCGACTAACCGCTTGAGCTATGGCGCGGCCCTAAAAGACGCATTCATTCTCACTCTCTTCTACAGCATTTTAAAGTCGTCATGCAAATTCATTGTCTATCATTAACACGGAATTTTAAGCAGGTCTGCGTGTTAATCGGCTTCAGTGATCTATATGCGTTTGGTTACTTAGCCATATCATGTTGGTAACACTGTTTATGACGTTTCTCGCAGCCAAATCAACCTTACGTTGCTGTGTTCGCGGGTCTTTCTCACGTTTCCTTATTGGTGTGTCTCATTTCCGGTGATGATTGGCGCGATGGGTTTGTGTATCAGTGTTTATTTTGTGTGTGATGAAATGTTGTGTGTTATTTACATATATTTGTGTAGGAATATTTGCAAATACTTGTGAAACTCTTAGTTTAAACATCAAAGAATCTTGGTCCCTGCAAGCTGCACAGATTCACCCTTCTGGTATCAACACAAAGGTAGGGTTTTACTTGAAATGATATCTCCTTGAGTTATTATATCCACCTACAATATATGACTACGTTTATTGTGGAGAATGTAAAGGACTTTGTGTTTCGACGTTTAAAATCTGTTTCCTGTATCCGTTTCGCCCTAATTCGTACAGTGATCGCTACACTCCTGTATTGAGGAGTAACTAAAGCAGTATACACGTTTGTTGGCAAGTTAATTTGATAATGCATCCACAGTGCTTGTCATGTGTCGTGGCCAGTGAAAGGAAATTGAAACGTCACAGATATATTCATTTTAAGAACTATGTGGGTACATTTGTTTACAATTGGTCAGTTACACTTGTATGTACTCCCTTTTGGATGATGTTTTGACATCACTACAGCTATTAGACCTACTGATAGACTTACGTAATTGTACTAGAGAATTTAAAATATATATTTGGGAATACTGTTATATTTCATCAATGAAGCGGAATCCATTGAAATTAAGAATGGCATGACACATTTTAGTTTGTGTAAGGTATAGTAAGCACGAATTAAATAAGCATACAACGATATCCTTGCTATAGATGTGGATGCTTGTTGGATATGTCATGGTCACTGTAGTTTAATATTGTTGCAAACGGAGCAGTACTTCTTTATGTGTTGAGTCATCCTGTTGTGTGTCATGTACATCGAGTATTTCTACATCCGTCGACACAACAATTTCTTGTAAAAATGTACAAATATGGATTATATACATTAAAACCTTAAAACCAGACACACAACAGCCACGACAGAGCCCAAACGACCACCTACAAGACAACACGGTAATACTCCATAAAATGTACGATAATCTCACTACACCCAACTTGCAACCCGATTAAATAGGAGATAAAGCATGTGAACATACAAGAGTTCATAACAACATACCCACTAGGAAGGAACCAGGCCAGAGCGACCAGTATACCAGCGAAATAACTATTAGATCGTGGGTTCGAATCCCACTCGAAATATTGATGGCTGTGTGCGTTATTCTCTCTTTGTGTTGTCCTGTGTGCCGGTAGCGGCCTTGCGATGGGGCTGATCCCCCTTCCAAGGAGTCGTATCGTCTGTATATAGATTAAGAAACTGCAAACGCAGCCAAGGTCCACTAAGGGCTGTAGAGCCATGGAAGCACTGAGTATCACTACGAAACTATCAGTCAGATTAACAGTGCGTGTCCGGGATGTAACCCAGATACCTTCCGCTTGTCAACTTGCATTTCCGGTTCTGTAGCAATTTCAGTTTTCGGCATGTCGTTTCTATAACACGGTGACCATTCAGTACGTCTTATTTTACTCCTACAATATGTTGTGGTTAAACTGTTTACATTTAGATGTTTGTAGTTGTACCAAGAGTCCGTTTAAAGACACCTGACATTTCGGGGGAACATATCTCCAAACCTTGCTGGCTACCTGCTTCACGCTGGCTTCCTGTTTTGCTTATTTTTCAACACTAAGATCAAGCCTACATGTTCCTCCAAAACGTCGGTTGACTTTCAAGATGTACACGGCGTTATATTCCCAAAACAACGGTTGTGAGTACCTCAAATCCTATATATTATATTTACTCGTGAAATGTACTCTTTTCCATAATGTCTGTAGCTTCCCTCTTATTTCGAAAACGAAAAACAAAGATCCCCCCCCCCTCCCGCATAACGTCTGCCCCTTCCCCATTCTTCGTCGCTGATCTCACAAGAACTGATTTTAAGTTTGTGGCTTTGACTGCAGTACGTAGTACTGCACTTCGCGCAACGGTCTTGTCACCCGATCCACGATAACCCTTGCAGAGCAGGCAGGAGCTGCCTGTGATGTCATTGGCTTGAGCCAGTAGTCATCCAGAAGCAGGTAAAGTTATTTTTAGAAGGAGTAGTGTGACTTCTTTGCCCCTTATCTGTGATCTGGAAGGCGCAGTCTCAAGACAACTGAATTAGTAGTGTCGCCAACTGTTCAGAATTGAGCGAGATGTCCCGTTTTAGTAATCCAATTCTTTCGTCCCTCCTGAAGTTCAAGCGGGGCAGCGAAAAACCTGCTATTAACTTATAATCTTGTATTTAAGCATCCTGTTGCCTTACTGTATTCAACCTTGTTCACATACAATTTTCCATCAATAATGCAACTATTTATTTCTTCATTCACGTTTGCTTTCGTTATCAACACAACATGTTTCGGCCCCAAACGGCCATCCTCAGGTGTCCCTTCATGCCAAACCTGCTACACTGCACTGAGTATTATTCATTCTATACGCGTGTAACTGAACATTTCGTAATTGAATTGTTACAATTGCACTCAACTGTTGTACGTTAAAATCTTGCATGTTACAGTTCTCTCAATTTCAAATAAATTAAAAACCTTTACAATTTTTAATTATATAAAACTCCTCATTCTACCTCATAAGGGGCTTCGTCCACTTGTCTAAGCAATATACCCTTCTTCTGTTGTTTTCATTGTAGCGGATCGCCCTTTCCATACGCAAGCCCGTTATGTTTTTTCTGCAATTTTGCCCATTGTCTGCCCCTAGTTCCCACAAGCCGAATATGGCGTTGTCTTTCCTCCCGTGCATGGAAGCTGATTCAGTTTCCGAAACATTGTGTTTATAAAAACTGAAGACGAAAGATGGTCGTACCAGTTATCACAATTACTTGCTTACGACGTCCGAAAAACAAGAGATCACTACTCTAGATTTTACTCAAAAAATTATTCTCTTGCATTTATCTGTAGGCCATTTAATGGGATTTTTGAAATTGAAATTGGCCTGTTCTTCACAGCCTCATCTCTTTGAATTCATCAGTGAGTCAATACGTATATTTGTTCTTATACTGCATACAGATATCCATCTGAACGGTTCTATCTTCTGGAATATAACGACATATAATCCGTTGAAAGTCAACCGACTTTTGGGGGTAACGATTATTTGCTAGATGCTTCACGCTGGTTTCTTGCTTGGCTTATTCTTCGACCCTGAAAATGGGGGCGATATGTTCCTCTGAAACGTCGGTTTACGTTCAACGGACTCTATGGCATTATATCCCAGGAAATAGAAGTATTCGTAACCACCTTTGTGAGAACCTCAAATTTTACACAGCTATTCGTCCCTTCGTGTAAGATTAAAGCTCTCGAGACGAATAGTTGTCCTGTAATCTTCTAGAGCGTGTAAACAGGAAAATCCCAAGCAGGAAAACAGAAAGAAGTACACTCTACCCAGAAGGCAAAATAATTGACAACAGAGGCACCAGATTAAGTGCCAAAGTGATAAGTTAATTTCGGCTTTATTTAATGCTAGTGGGGTGGGACTTAATTTCGGGTTTTTTTTAATGCTAGTGGGGTGGGACTAAGTCCCTTGTACTGCGGCCACTTCTGGCCTGTTGTACCAGCCCCAGATGATAGGTGAGGGTGATTGTGGAGCAATTAGTGGAATGAAGATTGGCAGGGGAAACCGAAGTACTCGGAGAAAACCTGTCCCAGCGCCACTTTGTCCACCACAAATCCCACTTGACCAGACCCGGGATCGAACAGCCGCAGTGGGAAGCCAGCAACTAACCACTTGAGTAATTTCGGCTTGGTGACCGTACAGTTAGGCTCCGCCGTCCTTCTGTATATTCCACCAGTAGGATGAAGCATCGGTCTCGCAGGTTGGGAGATGTATGTTCATTCACCACCTCGACCATAATATCGGAGTCGGAGGCGATCTACGTGTATGAACTTTGGTATTTATCTAAATATTGATACGGCTGATCTCCTTAGAAGATCTTAGCCGATTCATCTCTGTATCCTCCTCCTACAGTTTATTGTAGGCACATTTCAAATCCTTTCCTTCTCCATTGGAACAGGATAAAGGCCCCTGATAGAAACCACCTGATCGAATAGTCACTGGAGGCTTACAATAGGTTAGATTTTGTAAGATAGGGGTCGAGGTTTATTAGGAGTGTTTTTTTCGGATTTTGTCGGAAGGATACGAGATAATGAAGAGATATAGACCTGGGAATTTCATATGTAGATATTCAGAATATTAATAAGATAATTTTCTGAGCTAAACGTTCTCTGTTTCTTCCCAGAGCACGGCGAAAGTTATGGATATGTAAAGAATACACAGATACGAAGAACAAAACCACATGAAATATGTTTTTTTGAGTGAGGTTAATTTATTATTCAGTAGGTAGTTCAGCAGCATAATGTTACATTCCTTGGAAGGTTCATCAGTACTCGATGTTGAATGGATAATGTTTGTGTTCCTTTACTCTGTAACAAAGAGAGAATATAAGTATTGAGAAAATCAGCACTCTAGCACTGTATATTCTATGACAGTTCTAATATTATCACTTTGCAGTTAAACATTTTAAAAGGTAAAAAAAAAAATATATAAAGCTATCCATGTAACAGGTCGTGAAGGCCCATAGGGTCGAGAGACGTCGAGACTCCCTTTACCCCCAAGAACATATCGGAGGCACGCGGTAGCATAGTTGGTTTAGGGGCTATGCTACAAGCTGGAAGATCGCGGGTTAAAGTCCCGATGAGGTCGCTGGATTTTTTTCAATTGACCTAATCCTTCCAGCCGCACTATGGCCCTGGGGTTGACTTAGCCTCTAACAGAAATGAGTACAGGAATTAATTAAATTATTTTCTTGGGGAGTAAAGCGCGGCCGGAGCGTAAGGCTGACAACATTACCGCCATCTTTGAGCCGATTGTCTAGATAATGTGGGACCCTCAACGTCTCACAACCCTATGGGCCTTCACGGCCTGTTACAGGGATAGTTTTACTTTTTACTTTACTTTACCAATAAAGTTTTTATCGAATTCCATGTCGTCTCGTTTGTGGCTTAGAAGAATGAAGTTGCTGTGTTCCTGGATGTGACGCAATGTAGTCTCGTAGAATTTCACCGACATTTCGGAGGAATGTGCATCCCCTCTTCGGGTTCGGCGAATTTGCCGCTGTTTCTTGCTTGCCTTACACTTCATTCCTGAAGTTGAAAGCTGTAAGTTCCTCAAGAACGTCGGTAAACTTATGCTATACTACACGGCGTCGCATCCCAGGAGATACTAGTCTTTACAGTTCTTCACATGTCGCTGATATTCTTAAAGTAGGGACTTAGAAGTCCAATAACTCTCAGGTTGAATTGTGAGTTTATCGTATAACATTCTGATCATTTGTGCTTACTGAATAAAGTCGCATATTCTGTTGTTTCTGTTGAGGGAGTTCATAACAGAGACATCTTCAGGGCGGAGTTCGAAGTCGAAGATATCGATGTTTTCCAGTAGACGCTTTTTATTCGATGATTTGGGGATAGGCACCACACCAAGTTGGACCTGAAATACAGTTTAGCTTATCAGAAGTGTAAGAGTTAAACATTATTAGTCCCTCGCATTCTAAGCCTAGTTACCTTAGCGATTTAACGCAGTTTTAATGCAGTGTAACTCTGCTGTAAACACCAAGGCGAAACAAAGATTATTACAAATATTCATACAGATCATGTTGTTATAATACCAACTTCTCGTGGCATTTGCAGTATATGGGTCTGCTTCTTTTTACACTATAATGCAAATGTGCAATTTATTTAATTTTTGAGGATAATAAATATCCTTAATGTAATTTGCCATTAATTACTGTCATTAATCTTCACAGATTCATTAATTTGGATCTAATTTATAACATCATTTATTTACACGAAATTTGCATATAACTTTGTCATCAGATGAAGGCGTTGTGGAGGTGGGGGCTTGTGAGAAATTTTTCAGTTTTTTACAGTTATTTTTGTCATTACAATAAAGGCTGTTTTTACAAGGGCAGTATTTACATCAAAAATAAATTTAATTAAATATCGTGACCCCTACGTCGTGGATGGCGCAACGGGAAGTAGGGGTCACGTGAACTCTGCGATCTCGCGAGTGACGTCACAATATAATGGCATTTGTTTTATTATATTCGTAGTTTAACAAAATCCACAAATATTCACGTAGGAATTCTTGCATGCTCCTCTATGAAATGAAGTGGATGTATAGATCCATATTATCTTGACCTTGGGACTAGTTGCAGTTGAGTGGTCAGTTTCACGCCCCGGCCACTTTATCCTCGGGGAAGCAGTCCCCTATACCCATTGGATAGGAGGCTGGGTGGGTCCCAGAGCCGGTCTGGAAGACATGAAGAAGAGNGAACATTCTTATATTATATTTATATATTATATTATATTATATTCTTATATTAATATTCTTATATTACCCATAGCTGAACACAGTGGCCGCGCTGTCTAAGGCATGAACCATCTTCGCCCTCTTGAGCACTGGGAAAGTGGGTTCGAATCCCCCTTCTAGGCATTAATGCTGTGTGCAATTATTCTGTGTTTGTGTTGTTCTGTGTAGGTAGCGGCTTTGCGACGGGCTGATCCTCCTTCCGAGGAGTCCTACCGACTGTGTATAGGATTAAGAAACTGGGAAAAGCATACAAGGTCCAAACGGCTGTATAGCCGTAGAGAGATATTACCCAGATGTCAGGATTCTGTATTGAGTGCCTTTGAGGTTTATCCTCAATAAAATTTCTTATAGCTCCTATATTGCAATGGTGAAAGCAAGAATTGAAGACCCGAGACTTCCTGTGACATGTCTTTGTTATTGGCTTCATAAACTCTCCTAATTAGCTCGAAATACATTAAAGGAACACATACATCCAACTTATAGATTTCCTTTCGAAAATGGACCTTAATGTCATCAAACATACCAGGATATGAAGAAAGCAGTCTTCTGGGATTTGGCACCGTGTATATGTAGTGTTTACCGACGTTTCGGAGGAACGTATCGTGTCCCTTTACCCGGTC